ACGGTGACAACTCCTTCTCAGGGGCCGCCCAACAGGGAAACCACAGTGCGATTGAGATTTGAGCCCCATGGGCGGGTGTAGATCGCAAAGCATCCATCTTGCACCATACAGTTTGCCTAGTAGATCCTAGTAGGTTCTTGGCAGGAGTGCCGCACAATGATGGACAAAAAAACATGCTGCGAGTGCTGTTGCCATTCTTGTTCATTGTTGGCCTTGTGATGTTGCTCAGATTTAAACAGCACTGACCCGATGTCGATGTTCTGGCTGAGTATGCGTGGGCCCAACGATGCAGCCATCTTAAATAAGACTTATGTGCTGGTTCGAGCACTGTCCGGAGACTTGGCTTTCGGGACTTTGGTTTAGGGTTGTAAGGGTTTTGAGCCTGATAATCAGCAGAAACATTGTGTTCTTTGGATTCTTTCAGTTGATTTTTGGGCCATTGCTCTGCTGAATTTTGGGCCCAGGTAGTTCATAGCTCTCCAGCAAAGCTGGCACCCCAAAAATCTTCAAGCTTACGAAGCCTATACCTTCACCCTTGACCGCGCTTGACTGTATACCACACATTTTAGTGCAAAGCGCTATGAAAGCGTCAGCCCCATGGCTGGCTGTGAAGAAGGCCCTGCCAAGCCAGGAGGCTGGATGGTGTCTTCCTGAGCCATGTAGGTGCTTGCTTTTTTTGGGGGGGGAGGGTTAGGGGGTTTGAGGTTTAGGTTTAGGGGTCCCAACAGTGAAGTGCAGGGAAGGCCCAGGGTGGTGAAAACAGAAGGCGTCGAAAGCCTTCTGATCATGAATGCAAATGCATGGCAATATGCAATACTCGACTTTAGGAGCTGGGGTCTCCATGCAATTCGATTATGGGGGTTCTCAATAAAGGAACCTTATACAGGAGGGCCCAGAGCCCATGAATTGGCTGCTTACCCGAGTTGGCTCACATCTTTGAAGCAACGGCTTTCTGGAGCCTGCCGACAATTGTCGTGGGCAACCATGGGTGCCGGTGCGTCCACGCAACTCGATTCGCAGCTTGACCAGCTGGTCAAAGAGGGCCTGCAACAGGGCGCTCAGGAGAAAGATGTTCTTCTAGAGGCAAGCAAGCGTATCCAAGATCGTTTGGCAAAGCTTCCGCAGCAAGCGGGCAAGGAGCAGGAGGCAGCAAGCAAGTTGCAGACGCTTTGGGCTGGCGGCCGGGAAACCGTGATTGTGGAGCTGGGAGCCAAAGACCTGAAGCGCCGAGGCTCACCCAAGCCCTTGGAAGAAGTGGAGCAGATCATCTTAATCCTGGATCCACGTGGGGACATTTTCAGGTTCTACTGCACTGAGGACGTTGAGACTAGGAAGACCGTCAGAATGGACGAGATTCTGACACCAGAAGTCCTGAACAAGACGATTGCGTTCTACTTGTTGCCATCCCTCACCTCCTCGCCTGAAGCCTTGCTGGGCGTGGAGTGGCTGCCTGCCGGGATCTCTGCCACGTTCGGCATGGTGATTGACGACGCCATGGAGGTGTGCGTCCTGCGCACTGATGAGTACCTGGTTCACGGAGATAGTCTGCTGGTTCAGATGGTTGATGACGGGAAGCTGGTCTGCCCGGCAGAGGAGGCCCAGAGCATGTTACGCATGTTCAGCCCATGTGACAGCCTGCTTGGCAACAACATGAGCATCTGGAACCACATCATCATCTCATACGGCTTTGAGTACGGACAATTCTGCGAGTTTCAGGAAGCCCTGCCGGAGAGTCGCCTGCAATCAATCTTGCGGAGCCCGGGCAGCCGTGGCTTGTCTCGGAAGGCGCTGCCAGCTCCAGAAAAGGACAAGGCTGCACCTGCCAGAGTGGTTTTCCAGCAGAATGCCAGCCCGATGTTCGTCGCCTTTAGCAACTCTGCCGCGACAAGGTACTCCAAACAATTAGGCTCATCAGGCACTCGAGTGCTACTCTTTGGCCGGCAGCAGTATGGGCACCTCGGTAAGTGGCTGACGGCCAGGTCGAAGGTGGAAGAAGAAATCCGCAAAGTCAAAGAAGAGAAGGAGGAGGAAGGAGAGCAGGCAGAAGACATTCCTGTACCCGACCTACCTCTCCCTCCAGCTGAGCTGGAAGAGTTCTTTGGTGACCACGTCTACCCTATCCTGATCCTAGAGCCTGAGGACATGTCCTTCAGCATGATGAAAAGGGATACTCCCGACGGCACCTATGATTGCTTCCGGGCCAGCGCTGCGACGGAGTACATGGCGGCATTTCAGGAGGTATGCATTCAAAAGGGCCTTGATCGCTCCATTTGCGTCCTGGGCGTCGGCCAGGACTTCGACAGCTTTGCCCAGAACGGCGCCTTCGTAGAGCTTCTCTCCTACCTCATGGACAAATCCCGGCAATCCTGGCCAATGATTTTGGTCACTGAGGACGAGGTTGCGCAGGCCGCAGGCTTGTTCACGCGAGTCAAGCACCCGCAGGAGAATGTTACGGCTATCCTCCCGCACATGGGACAAGGCAGTACCTTGCGTAGCTGTATTCCCGTGATCTACACGCTGCCATCTGCGTTGGGGCAGGCAGGAGTTGCTAAATTCAAGCCACTGCAATAGTTTGGGGTTATATAGGGGTTGATATAGGGAGAATCGAAAAGAAAATGGGAACTACTATAATAGGGTATATATTTGGGTTATCATATGGAAAATAGTTGTCCATTTCATCTTTGGGCCTGTTTGTCACTTTTGGTTTTTCTCATGGAAAGGCTAGCGGAAATAGTAAGAAAAAGAGACATGACACGGTTCCTCTAATCAGGGCGCACATGAAGAGTAGGGCTCCAGGGCTACCTCCAAAAAAGTCACGGTCAAGAGTGTTGAGCTTTGGTCGGTCCCAGATACCAGGTTGACTCAGCAGTTCTACCCTACTAGCCCTAATGGTGTCGAGAAGAACCCTGACAACAAGCCATAAGCCATACTGGGATGTTCTTGAGACCTTTATTGTTATTATGATTGTTACAATGGCCACAATCTCAATATTTTATCTTTTGTGAGGCCGTACAAAGTGAGATTTGATAGGCCCCTTAAAACCTATCCCAACATATACAATCTTCACGTGTTCTTGACCCCTAAATCTCTAAACCCTCCCTAAACCCTACCAGGAGCTGGAGGATGACAGCATCCTAACACCGGCCCTGACCGTGGGTACCGGCGTGAGCGGCATCCCCAAATCGAAGTTCAATCCTAAGTTCCAGGCTAAAGACCCCGAAGGCCGCTGCAAGGGGTTCAACTGAGATTTAGGTTTTAGGGTTTAAGGTTTGGGTTGCGTTCAGGAACTTACATGAAGCTATATTATCGCTTAGAATGGAGAATCAAATAGAAAATAACATGGAACATGACATAGAAACTGGGGTAATTTAGGGATTGTAGGGATTTCAGGAACTTAAATTAAGCTACCATAATGGGTATATACAGTAACTAGAAGGGTTTCCCAACATAGTGGCTTAAGTTAATTTCTTAACCAGCAACCCAATCCAGGGTGTGCGGCTCAGGGTTTGCAGGCTGGGTTTGGAGTTCAGGGTTCGGGAATTGAGGGGTTTAGGGTTCAGCTCAGGGTTTAAGTTTTTAGGTGAGGATTTAGGGGACCTTTTTGAATTTCTTCTGAAGGTGTGGGGGGGGAAATATAGGTTGGGGCTTGTGGTAATGGGGTTGTCTGTCATTAGGACGTTACCCCCTAGCCGCTGGTTTCAAATGCTTCCAGCACTTGTCGGTTGAGTAGCTGGTTCAGACTCTGAAATCCAGAAGCTATGGAAGCAGCATCTAGATGACTCTATTAGAAATTGGGTTGAGCAGGATCACAATGGGGATGCTAAGGAGTCATGTGTGGATGTTGATTGGCCATATTTCCCTTAATTTATAGAGTCTACTAGAGTCTACCTAGAAAGGTCATTTCGCAGCCGGGCCTACAAAAAAACATTTCAAGTATATTCTTAACTACTAATATAATATTACTGTTAGTATTCTTACTATCTCATATTTCTATTTTCGATTTTTCGAATATCATCAGGGACCCAACAGACCCAACTCCAGGGGATGGTAGCCTTCGTAGGGCTCCTGGGTGGCTATGTAGCTATTTCCCCTGAAATAATAGCGAGGCCTCAATGGACACCAATTTTACAGTCCTAGGATCCTTGTATTATTATGGCACCTAAACTTTACCTCAAAATGAATATGGGTAGTAGTTCTTTAGGCCTCTATCGTACCTGGAAGGTAACTTCTTCCCTGAGCGCGCTCTTCCGGGCATCGAGGGCGTGGCCAGCGTCTCCATAATTAATCCTGCCGGCATACTGTTGAACCTTCTTGAGGTGTTGAAAATGTTTTTCCTTTGAAATACTTGTGCTTACTGTCCTCCCCAAGCGAGGTCTTGGAGCAATTTTCACGTCTTGTGTATATTACTTCATCATCATCCCACCAAATCGCTGACAGCTACATCTCTCTGAGAGTTGTACACTGTCAGCCGTGTGTAACTAGGTGTTGCGCAGTCAAGGGTGCCGTTCCTTGTGATCCGCAATTTCCGCAAACTTTCATGCACTCCGCCTAAATGCGGGGGTGCATCCTGTGAAACGCCGAGGAAGCTTTACAGCTCTCTCTTGGAGCAGAAGCTCCCTTCGGCTGAGCTAAAAGACAAGTTGCAGGACTGCATAGCTCCCTGCCCCAAAGACCCCCCAAAAACCAAACACCAGATAGCAGCCGTAGCCTAACAGGGAACGTAGAGCCCCAACACCCCCTAACAGTTTCTAGAAGTCCCCTAATTCTTTGGAGCCTTTCCTGGAGGACTGGATCGAGATCTTAAACGATGACCTTTCGCCTCCGCCTGCAGAGGAAGAGGAGGAGGAGGAGGAGTACTGAGAGGAGTGTCTCCGCTTTCTGTGAGCTGCACCTGACAAAATCTGAGCAAGCTTCAGTACTCCGTATGGAGTTTAGGGATATACGATGGATTTCTTATATAACATACTGTGGAAATATGAGTGGGTAACTGTCATAGTAGTTTTACCGGCAAGAGTATTTTGCAGAACCCGCCTGGGTGAGACTTTACTTCGTCAAACACTTGGAAGCTGATCACCATCCCACTAACCAAAAAAACGTGAAAGCAGGTAGCTATTCCCTTGTGGCATTGCGAAGATCCCCCCAGCTGAAGCGTGACCAGCATTGAAGTCCCAGAATTCCCAGCTCTCCCTTGTTAGGAGTATTGAAGATGGCTCATGTGATGTTGAATACATTCTGTTCTGTACCTTCAATTCATACCTTTCGATACATTCCTGCATCACTGTGACTGTGCGGCTGGAGACGTCGGACAAAGCGGCCAGTTTGCTTGTCAACAGCCTTGGCTACAAATCTAGAGTGGAGACTAGACGTTCCAGACCCTGGGCTCACCTTGATGTCGGAGAACTTTTTCCCCGGACATCTCTGCGACACAGCCGCCAGCCCGAAGCAAAGGCAAAGCCTGCAATCGGGTTTTTCCCTGGCTGGCTCCGCAGATCCGGGGTACTCGGAGGTTCGGGGCGGCCATAGTTAGCTGCTTGTGGCACCACTACCACAGACATGCTGGTCCTGCTGGGTAATGGAGTGGTTTCCTCTTTGCACACGGCCATCATTTGTATTCCATCTATTACGCTCAATTTAGGGGAGGCGCTTCATGGTAGTCTCAGCCACAGGTACAAGCAGCTAGTGGGGGCTCTGGGCTTGTGGGATACAGGCAGTGGAGGAGCCCTGAAATCCATGGATACAAGCTGCAGGAACCTCAAGCATTTTCACGAGTAGATAGTACTCTCCACCAAACGGACATGAAATCAAAACGGATTTCTTACAAAGAGTGCAGCAGTATGTAAAGAGGCCGGTCTGGATTGTTTGGGTGGAGGGTAACTAGAAGGAGAATGTCTGGGTTTTTTTAGCTGAACATGTTCTGCCCACGAACTTCCAAGTAGAGGTTCTTTTCCAGGAGCTTCACTTCGTCCTTGCCTGCAGACAATACAAGCGCGAAGCGTAAAAATGCAGTCGTGCAGTTAGCAACTTCCGGCACGCTGTCTGCCCCCTCCCTGCTTCTCTTTGATCCAGAGGCGGGTAATGGCGGTGCCCTGGGCTCCAGGCAGGACGGCCCGAAGATAAGCTCCCTGTTCGCTTTTATGGTCGGGGCCGTATTGGGAACATTGCGTGTACATGAAGGTGGTACAGATATAAGGTAGCAAACAAGTGACAGTCGGAGCACAACTCAGAACACACTCAAGTCCAATTTTAACTTTACGGTTGCCATTGCTACGAAGACCAATCAATTATTCGTAGCTCAGACTGCACAGCATCCCCCCTTAGCATTCGTTTTGCTTACCAAGTGTGGATGAGCTGATGTTCCAGGTATGAAAGTACAAGGTTGCGTGTTCAGAAATCCTGTGGGTACGCTAGTCCTAGCGTTGGTCATATCTTTTCTCCCACAAGAGACTTGTACAAGGACCTAGATGGAGAGAAACAGTCCGTGATTGATTAGCGAGTCTATCTAGCCAGGGCATCCCCGTTTCGGGTTATGGCACCACCCGCACCCCAGTCTAGGACTCTAATCCCAAGATCCGAACCAAGCCTGCCGAGCCTAGAATCCGTCAAGGACATTGCGAAATGAGCCGAAACGACAGCCGCTGCTGCTGAAAAAGCTTGTTGCGGCACATATTGAGGCGTTAGTATCACGGAGTCCTGCTGGGGAGTTTGCTTCAGGGTTGCTACCTACGCCTTGAAGGTCGGATTTTGCGAGGGTCGGCCCAGCGCGAACGAACGCATTGGAATCCACAAAGAGCTTCCATTGAAGTCTGCAAGCTTTGCCATCCTGATCGTCAGTTGCCTGCTGAATCATGAAGCTTGCCTCTTCAGCCTTGCATAGCCCTTAAACACACCCCCAATGTCAGCCCTCTCCACGGCTAAAGCCAGCGATCCCCACTCAAGGCTAGGAACCCTACATCGGATGCATTCAACCTCAAGCTCCGTATCCTCACATAAACCCCAAATGCTGGACCCAAAGCTGAAAACTCAAAACCAACACCCAAAACACGAAACTGTACACCTTGTATTCACACGCTGAACCCAAACCCTAAACCCTAGACCCTACACCCTCAAGTCGCATAGCTTCCCATGGTTGACTGTGACAACGGCTCCGCAAAGCTCGGAGGCTGCGGCTTTAGGATTGCTGGCTAAGGGTCTAGCTTGCACGCCCAGTAGACTAATTTTAGTTACAGTAACTGCTTCGCATCTTTACAGAAAGGTAGCCCACTATTTTAGGCAACTTGGCTTTGCAGGAAGGGTTTTGGAGTTTTGGGGCTTCAGGATTTTTGTGTTCAGGCTTCACAGTGCTGGGTCTACAGGGTTCGGTGAATTTTGGGTGTTGGGTCAGGTTTGGGGGTTTGTGATGTAGTTTGCCTGCACAAGAGGCACCTGATTAGTACGGCACCAAAGCAACCAACTTTACTGATGGGTCCTGCCACAGGTCCCGTCCTGAAGAACGCGAGTTCGACAAGGACCCGTGTGTCATTAACAAGCAGTATTTTCGCAGAGTGTGAGGCATTGCTTTCCACAATATACAGTGCATTCACCCGGTGCAAGTGCGTTGCTGGCGCAAATGGTTTGCTCGGGTGTTCAGATCCGTGGGCTTACAAGAAAAATCCAGTTTTGTCGTCTTACAATGAATGATTAAGCTTCTGCAATTTCATCCAGAGGGTTGTCCTTAGCTAGCCTTGGCAGATGGTCCTTGTTGGGTGCCCTTTCTTCCGACCCTCTGGTCTTGCTAGTGTGACTTTCGTTGGGGAGACCTCGTTCGGTCGTGGGTTTGGCCAGTGGGTTGAGGAACAGACGTCATGTCGCTCGTTGCTGGCGCCACGCTCCTCAACGGCATCGGCCATCTAGCACCTCGGCTCAATTCGGATTCTTTGACGGTCTGGTCAGTGGTTCGAGTCTGCAGCTTCAGGGATGAACATCCTCACATTCCATCATCTTCAAAGGACTACCAGGCAGCAGCTTGCCCGTTGTTCGGAAACTGAAAATTCATTGCGACCGTAGGGGGGGGGAAATTCACGCGGCCCGTCCCACTCGCCCCACTCGCTCGCCCCACTCGCCCCACTCGCCCCACTTGCCCCACTCGCCCCACTCGTTCGGGCAAGTGGGGCAAGTGGGTCAAGCGGTGAAAATGGGGCAAGTGGGGCAAGTGGGTCAAGTGGGGCAAGTGGGGCAAGTGGGGCAAGTGGGGCAAGTGGGGCAAGTGGGTCAAGAGGGGCAAGTGGGGCAAGTGGGTCAAGTGGTGAAAATGGGGCAAGTGGGTCAAGTGGGGCAAGTCGGTCAAGTGGGGCAAGTGGGGCAAGTGGGTCAAGTGGGGCAAGTGGGGCAAGTGGGTCAAGTGGGGCAAGTCGGTCAAGTGGGGCAAGCGGGGCAAGTGTGGCAAGTGGGCAAGTGGGGCAAGTGGGGCAGACCCATTAATGCCCCCCAACGCCGACACTCTCGAAAATTGCCGAACATGGATCCCTATGCAGACCTCCGCCTGCCCATTGCCTCAGGTACTTCTGCAGGTAGTGCGAGGATCCATTTGCTAAACTGATGTTAAGCGTTGACGTTCTTTCTATTGGCGGGACGCTTTGGGAATAATTGTCTAATTCATCAACCTCTTTCTCTTCTTAAACCCTTATGTTTCGAACTCTTGCAAGACGTCTCTCTTGGCATGCTGACTCTACGTGAACCCTTTCCCAAACAATGATTGCCCCTTGCAGAAACGGTACCATAAAACATCAAAAAAACAAAGAGACTTGGGACCCCAAATATAGATTCCGGTAATTTTACTACAGTTCAAAGGGCATCCCAACTATCTGTCATCATTATCTCCTTATATATATATATATGTAGGTTTCCCTATATTGCGCTTTTGTAACACTAAAGTATTCCCTGTATAATCCCTTTGTAACCTTACAGCCTCATACAGGTCCGACTGCGGCCCTCCTGCTCCACCCTAAACCCTAAATCCTAAACCCTAAACCGTAAATCCTACGCCCTAAACTCTATAAACCCTAAAGCCTAAACTCTAAAACCTAAACCCTAAACCCTAAATCCTAACCCCCAAATCCTGAACCCTAAATCC